AGTTCATAATTACAAGTAAAAAAAATAAAAAGAATTGAAATTAATAGTTACGGTTTATTTTGCTTTCAATAATTCTTGCAAAATAATTTTCAACATTTAAACTTCGTCCATAACATATTTATCATGGCTACGTTGCAAGCTTTCTAACAGATTTTAAATCGTTCAAAATGGATAATCGTAGCAGAAAATATAGTATCAAACGAAAAAAATTTAAAAAGTGAAAAATATCATATGGGAAGTGCCGCCGTTAGTCTTTGGAACGATTTTGCTGACTTTCAAGTGTTTTATATTTTTAGTGGATGTAATAATTACGATTATTAGCACTTTAATTTGGGGAAAAATTTACAACCCAAGCTTTATATATTTCAAAATAAAAAATCAGGTCCCAAGGTTTAGAATTGCAGAAATCAGGTTTTTCATAAATTAATTAATTATATTTCATGCCTTGGTTGACAGTTTTTTTCACAAGAAAAAAATTCATGGGTCAGGTATTTACTTTCACGAAATCACAAATCAGGCCCGAACGTCTAGATTTTCAAAAATCAGGTTTTTCATAAATTAATTAAAGTATATTTCACAATTATTATATTAAATTAAATATTGAACTGTAATATAATATAATTAACTCATCCCACTGCCACCTCTGCTCCGACAACTACTCCGGTGACCAGCAACTCCGACGATTTTTTCGAGGTCACAGATCAAAAAATGTGTAGGTCACGGATTATTTCGAAATCATAGATAAAGTTTTTTGTAGGTCACGTATTATTTTCAGGTCACAGATAAAAAATTTTGTAAGTCACAGATTATTTCGAGGTCACGGATCTAAAATTTTATAGGTCACATATTATTTCGAGATCACAGACTATTTTTTTAGTTACAAATTATCAATTTTAAACTAGGTCACAGATACTAAAAAAATCACAATCGCTAGGTCACAGACACCAAAAAGAACCAAAAATATGAAAAAATATTTAAAAAATCAGGCAGTCAAGTCATAGAACAGCGGAACTCAAAAACTAAATGTGCTAGATGGAGCTTATCATCACATATATAAAAATCCTAGGCAGATTCAGCCAGAGATAAAAATGCTCTTCCTGGTTGACGCTGAGCTAGTGGCCCATGACATCCCAAAAGCTTAGCATTTACACCATCAGACATGATACAATTCTCAGATTTCCACTTCAGGTAATCGGTGCGGCTGTGTTTAGTGAACCCCCATTTCCTGCTGACAATAATCTTTTGACGGCCAGAGAATTTGAACTTAGCACGGCGCAATGCTTCCTAGGCGTTGTGGCTGTTGTAATCTTTGCAGCGAATAGAGAGAAGAACCTGACCAATAGCAACACGAAGGGAGGGTGAGGGCGAGGGAGATGGAGGGTGAAGGGGAAAGGGGGGACGATGCTGCCGTTCATCAGCGTCACTGTCGCAGCAACGTCACAGCAACGCTGCTAAACGGCAGCAGCGTCACGCAGCAGAGGGAGTGAGGGAGGGGNTTTAGTTACAAATTATCAATTTTAAACTAGGTCACAGATACTAAAAAAATCACAATCGCTAGGTCACAGACACCAAAAAGAACCAAAAACATGAAAAAATATTTAAAAAATCAGGCAATCAAGTCATAGAATAGCGGAACTCAAAAACTAAATGTGCTAGATGGAGCTTAGCATCACATATATAAAAATCCTAGGCAGATTCAGCCAGAGATAAAAATGCTCTTCCTGGTTGACGCTGAGCTAGTGGCCCATGACATCCCAAAAGCTTAGCATTTACACCACCAGACATGATACAATTCTCAGATTTCCACTTCAGGTAATCGGTGCGGCTGTGTTTAGTGAACCCCCATTTCCTGCTGACAATAATCTTTTGGCGGCCAGAGAATTTGAACTTAGCACGGCGCAATGCTTCCTAGGCGTTGTGGCTGTTGTAATCTTTGCAGCGAATAGAAAGAAGAACCTGACCAATAGCAACACGAGGGGAGGGCGAGGGAGGGTGAAGGGGAAAGGGGGGACGCTGCTGCCGTTCATCAGCGTCACTGTCGCAGCAGCGTCACAGCAACGCTGCTAAATGGCAGTAGCGTCAAGCAGCAGAGGGAGTGAGGGAGGGGGAGGGAGAGGAAAATGGAGGAGGAGGAGGATGAGGCGATGGCGGCGGGCGACTGCGATTCGTAGTAAAGGGAGTGAGGGATGGGGAAGGGAAGGAAAGGGAAGGGAAGGGAGAGAAGAGGAGAAGGGAGGAGGAGGAGAAGGCGGCGGCGTCGCCGACGATGGTGGAGAGAGGTGGCAATGGAGGCGGTAGACATGGTGGGAGGAGAGAAATGAATTGTATAGGTTAGGATTTGGATAGATTTAGGTTTTATATTTGGTGGGGGTTAGATACCCATATATGTTATTTTAATTTTATAATAACACTATTAATTAAATATTATAAAACCTGATTTTTGATTAAATAAAGTTAAAACCTAATTTTTATAAACTTGAAACTAAACTTCTGGTTTTTTATAATTACCTCTTTAATTTGGTTTAAGTGTATTAATCAATTTCTTTTTAAAAATTGGGCCTATAGTCAAACAATAATTGGGCCTAAAGTTAAAACAAATAAGGGAAGAATACATAAATCCTGCTTTTACTTATACACATTTCAAAATTAAGGTTAGATGTTTTAAATTTCAAAAATCAGGTTTTTATTTAAATTTATCTATGAATTAATTAATTAATTAATTATATGTTTTATTAATAAGTATATAACGGTCACAGATATATATAATTTGGTCACAATTCGAATTTTTTTAGATCACAATTCAAAAATTTCATAGATCACAATTTGTTCATCGGTCACAATTTAAAAATTTAAAAGTCACAATTTGTTCATCGATCACAAATCACAAAATTTATAAGTCACAATATTTATTTACGATCACAAACATCCCATTAATCAATTTGTAAGTCGCAAACTAACCAAATTCTTGGTCAGAAACAACCTAATCAATTTGTGACCACCCCCGAATCATTTGTGACCAACACTTCGCCAAGACCACCACCTCCAAAACCACCACCGCCAACACGACCACAGCACACCACAATCGTACC